CGGGCCCGTTCACGCGCGGGCGAGCGACGGGCGCGCGCGACCGCGACGGGCGCGCGCGCGGGGGCATTGAATCACGCGCACACGACGGTTGACGTCACCGAGGCGTCGGTGAATGTCGATTCATCCGCACGTCGCGACGCCGCGACCGCGCGCGCGAGGACCGGGCGCGGCGATTCGGAAGCGATGATTTTTTCACGATTCAACGCGCGCGTCGCCCGATCGATCGCGCGATCGATGGGCGTCGACGCGGCGTCGATGTCCACGCGCGCGTCGAATGGGGGGGCGCGATTCACGGCGACGCACGAGTGCGTGCGGGCGACGACGACGGACGGACGGACGATGACGTGCGAGATCGCGATGGCGGACGGGGCGTTCGAGGCGATCGGGGACGCGCGTGGGGTGGAGGTCGTGACGGCGGTGGGGGCGCGGGCGCGGCGCGGGGAGACGCTCGCGCGGGTGACCTGGAGCGGGTACGCGCGCACGGCGGGTGACGAGCTGTATCACTCCGTGTGGGCGAACGCGACGGGGGTGCGAGAGGTGAAGGCGCCGTTTGATTGCGTGGTGAAGCGGTTTAATGAAAAGGCGATGCGAGACGCGTACAGGGAGGTGCGAGGACCGGAGACGTGGCTCGTGGAGGTGGAGGCGAAGAACGGAGAGTTATCGACGCTCCTGGACGAGGATGAGTACGAGAAAGTGCTGGAACGAGAGGAGCTCGAGGCGGCTGATCGCGCAAACGCGGCGTATCCGTGATTCGGTCGGTCGTTGGCGTGTGTCGTGGTGATGAGTTGGGTCGCGGCGTCGTTCCGTCGCCCGTGTTGAATTAATTAAGCGCGCTGCTTCTTACTCGCCTTTGCGTCGTCGTCATCTTCGCGCGCGCGCTTCACGTCGGTGATTTCGATTTCGTCATCCATGAGCAATACCTCGTCGTCGTCTTTAGCCCCCGCGGCCTCGGTCTCCGTCGCTTCCTCGGCCACGGCTTCGCTCGCCTTGACGTCCTCGCCGCGAATGATGAACCCGTCGGGGTCGTTCTCTTCGTCCCACTCCTCGCGATGGGTCACCATGAGTTCGAACGTGAACTCCTGTGAGAAATCGTCCACTGCTAAAATGGTCCCGTTCACGACGCCGCCACCCGGAAGAGCGCTCAGCGTGCGCTTATCGAGTGCCTCGTAGTGCTCCACCTCGTCCTCATCTAAGTCGTCGCCGGTTTCGTGGATTTGACTGCTCCCAAACATCACCGAGGGCGCGTGCACGCTGAGTCGACCCTTCAGCACCTTCTTTATGAGGTCTCCCTTGGTGAACTTGTTCGTGTTGCACACCAGCTCGACGCGTGCGTTGCTACAGACGGAGCACTTTGGATTTGGGTCCTCCTTCGAGAGCGGTTGCAGGAAACGCCCGTTCGAGGGATGCTCGAGGACGAACGTGTAGCGCGTCTTATCCATTTGATTGTGAATAATCTTGAGCGCTTCTATGACGATGAGCCCAGAGACGATGGCGTTCGTCGTCGCCACCGCGTGCACGATGTTGCCAGCCATACCCTTGGCGTCGAACAGGCTTTGCGCGGGAATTCCATAATTCGCCGAGCGCAAGTTGCTCACCGCGGTGACAAACTCCATCGCGTCATCGTCGTCCTTATCAAAAGTGACCGGCCGTTCGCGCTCGATGAGTCGCGCCGTGGCGCTCACGAATACCTTTGCGCATTCGCTCGTGTTCCACACCGCGTGGGTGTCCAACAACCCATGCGCGCGACGAGCGCTCTTCGCGTCGGGCAGCGTCTCCGTGAACGCACCATCCAAACCGACGCCCGACGTCGTCAACGGCGTCGGCTTCGCCCTACTCTTCCACATGTCATCCTTGAGCAGTAACCCCTCTATTTTCGACCCGAACACGTACGCGAACACGCGCTTGGCGAAATCCGTCCCGGTCTCGCCTTCGTTTCGTCGAAACGCCCCAGCCTCGATCGCTTCCTGCTCGTCCAGATCGCTCTCCGTGTTCACGTCTCCGAAGAGCTTGCTGAACAATAATTCCTTCGCGTACACGACGCAATGAATCGGTTTATCCGGCGTATCTCTCAGCGTGCATATCGGATAACTCTTCGGCGTCGGCTTCTCCGTGCACTCAAAGCACGCGCACGTCCTTCGCTCGTGCACCGTCACCTGTCCCTTGTACCCAGTCGTCCCGCTCTCAACCAGCGGGACCTCCGCCGCGAGACACAACCTATTCACGTGTCGCCTCGCCTCGAGATTATCCAATCCATTCAGCACGACATCGAACGATTTAAAGTACTCCTTATCGAACCGCGCCTCCTTCACGTTCGCCCGCGTCGCGTCGATCGTCGCCCGCGGCTGAAATTTCATCACGCTCTCCCTCGCCACCTCCGCCTTGGACATCCCGACGTGTCGCTTCCGAAACAGAAACTGCCGGTTCAGATTACTCACGTCGATCGTGTCCAGGTCCATCGTCGTGATGTTTTCAAAGCCGTGCAACGCGAGCGTCTTCAGGAGTTCACATCCGATCCCTCCGGCGCCCACGGCGAGGACGCGCGCGCGCGCGACGCGGGCGCGATCGATCTCCATACCGCGCCCGTCGCGAACGAGCGCGTCGACGACGACGCGCGCGCGCGTGTGCGCGGGCGAGGCGTGGGCCGAT